AACAGCTACTTACCAGCCAGAATGGAAACATTTAAATATTTTAACAATCTATACAAACACAATACAAATTTGTTGGACAAGTAAATATTTTCAGTGGCCCTTAAGGGTTTCACTGTGACATACTTTGCTGTCTGGGTAAATTATTTAGGGAGCGCATGGAGAACGCTTCTCCAGCAGAGGGAAGGCAGACGGCAGGGAGAACGTCCAGTGGGGCTCTCTCTGGAAGCATACAATGGCGGTACTAGAACAGGCTATGCCAGGAACAGCAAGCTACTCAGTCCATACACAAGCAACAGAAGAGACTAAACAAAGGAACTTTTAAACTTCCTCTAGTGAATGACAAAGACACAAGGATGAGAAACTAGGGCAAACCTCCTAAGAGAACATGGAAACCAACAATCGACTTTGACAAAAAACTTTGACAGCTGATGAGATACTTATCCATCCGTGAGGAAAGGGCCATTGTATCAAAAATTTTTGTTGAGTCAACTAAAAGCTATGGAGCATGCCCATAACAGACACATAGCTACATTACTATGTAGCTATGAAAAAGAAGGTACAGCACTCTTGTGATAATTATAGAGCGAGAAGCTTTTTATGAACAAATGCAATTTACTAAGCTCGGTCAAATTTCTGATGGGTGGATTTAACATTTTAAAAGAAAGAGTGGCATTAAAAAACAGATGGCAATAACCATAAAGCTATAGAATTGTGAGCATTTTCAGAAGACACAGTTGTGGATGCTGCCTATCCCCAAAACAGTTAGAAAATGCTGAACAAACCAGTTTTTGCATACGTGATGTTTATCAGCTTTCTACCTTAGCAGGAAGGAGCTCTGGTGGCGTAATGGTTAAATGCTCGGCTGTTAACCAGCAGGTTGGTGGTTTGAACGCATCCACCCACTCCACATCCACCCACTCCGCAGGAAAAAGACCTGGTGTCTGCTCCCATAAAGATTACAGACTAGAAAACCCTGTTGGGCAGTTCTACTGTCACATGGGGTCACTATGAGTCAGACTCGACTTGAGGCACCTAACAACAACAACCTCAGCAAGTACCGATTTCTATTTAGCCTTATGGTTACAAACGCTAGACAGCTTGTCTCTTCCTTCAGGTGCTAACGCTGCTCATTCCCACTTCTGGCAATCTGAAAATAAAATCATGCTAAAGCTTTTAGAAGTTTCACAGATTTTCCTTTTGTTTAGAACACATTAATGTGTTGATGGCTATTACCCAACAACCAGTCAACCCCGTATGTGCGGAGTAGAACTAACTGCTCCATAGGGTTTTCAAGGCTGTCACCTTTCAGAAGCAGATCGCCACGCTTGTCTTCTGAAGCACCTCTGGGTGGGTCTGAAGTGCCAGTCTTTCAGTTAGTAGTCAAGTGCTTAACCGTTTGAGCCACCCAGGGTCTCCTACTGATGGCTATAGCACTTTTAAAACAAGTCCACAAATTCCTTGATACACTTCCCATTGAGAGGCAGGATCTATGTCCCCTCCCTTGAATCTGGCCTGCCTTGATGACTTGCTTACGACCAATACCCAGCAGCAGAAGTGCTGCTGTGGGACTTCTGAGGGTAGGTCAGAAAGGTCATGCGGTTCCCACCTGGTTCTCTTGAGACATTCCCTCCGGGGAAGCCAACTACCAAATAAGAAGTCCAACTATGCTTAGAACTACCCTTAACTTGTAATGCTGAAGAGTTGCTGTGTAGTGCTCCTGACTTCCCAGCTGTCAGCCAGCATCAACTGCCAGCCGACATCCAGCTCACTCAATCCTTTGGGTGACTGCAGCCCTGGCTGACATCTGACATAATCACATGAGAGACCCCAACCAAGAGCTGCCCAGGTGAGCCCCTCCCAAATTCCTAACCCACAAAATCCTGAGCAAAATAAAATGATTGTTGTTTAATACTACAAAGTTTTGGAATAATGTATTACATAGCAAAGGACTAGGACAATGACCGAAGAAATACTTCCTAACTAGCTCTACTACTTCTCCACTTTCAGTGGAAGGTGATTTCAGATCCATGTTGTATTAGCCAGAACAGACTAAGTTATACTGTGGTGAAATAATTAACCCTGAAACCTCAACAGCTTCACTGAACAAAAATGTGTTTCCTATTCAAGAGTAGGCAAGGAATTTTATTCCTTCTGGCGACTCAGGGATCCAAGCCCTCTCCATCTTGTGACACCACCATCTCACAGATTGCTGCGGTAGAGGAAGAAGGAGCAATAGTTCTCACATGCTTCCATCTTGAAGCATACCTTCATTCTGAATATTGTCCCGCTATCCTGGCAATACCACTTTTTAATAATAACCAAATGTGGCATACACGGGTGGCCTCCAGTACTCATTTTTCTTTTCTTCCTTTTAGTTATAGCAACTCAAAAGTTCTGGCTGGGCACATAACTGCCTAACTACAGACTCTCTTCCCAGTTTCCCTTCAAGTGTGCTATGTGACCAAGCTCGGGCCAATGGGATACGAGCAAACGTGGTATGTTTAATTTCTAGACAATCTCCACCTCTTTAAAGGCACTCATGCCACATTCTCTGCCTTCCCTTTCCTCTGGCTGGCAAGTGGTGTTATCTGTTATAGAGGTAGAGCTGCCCCATTAGTCCAGGGCAGCTCACCTCTAGACTGAGAACAGGAAATAAAAAATTCTCTCTCTCTAGTCAATCTAATCTATCTATTTATCTATCATCTATCCATCTATCTATCTAACCTATCTATCTACCTACCTACCTATCTATCTTTAAGCCACTCACTGTATTTTTTTGAGGAGAGTGGGGAATGCTGACGGGAGTTGTCATACAAAAGCACCAACTAACTAACCTCATTTCACACAGTCTCCTATTACATACCTTCCTTTTATACTCATAGACATATACATTTTCACTTCTTCCCTTAATCTCTACATTTGAATTAGCTATACCATAACTGAACTTCCAATTCCTTTAGGTAACTGAACTTCTATCCCACATAGCTGGTTTCCTTTGAAGGCATGGGCTCTCTTGAAGTAGAACACAAACAGTGTAGTGTGGGAGAGAGAAGAGTGGATTCAAAGGCAGACGATCTGCTTCTCATACTGAGGGGTCTTCAACAAACCCCTAAGGACAGTGAAATAAAGACCTGCAGCCCAAAGTAACCTCCTAAAAATATATATCTAATCATTTTCCATTATTTAAAGGATAAAGACTAAGTGTTAGGTCCGGTTTAGTTCCTTGGCCTAATGTCTTGTAGCTTTCCCACCTCAAATTTTAAAAACTTGGCCAATATGCTGAAGGCAATCTGGCATCATGGCTGAGTACAGATCCTGTAATGAGAACAAACCTGGGTTTGAATCCCAGCCTTGTCACCTAGTACTAACGGGACTGTGGGTAATTAACATTTCTAAGTCTCAATTTCCTCACCTGTCAAATGAAGCTGATACTGCTCTCAGAGGGTAACTATGAACTTCACATATTGCCAGAGAACTCGATAAATGTTAGTTATGGTAACTCTGTCTTTCCACGTGCTATTCCCTCTGCCCGGAATACCCTTCTCCTCTTGTTGACTGGGGAACTCATTCACTTTCATTATAACTCATGCCCTGTGATGCCTTCCCATCCCCTCGACCTGCCCAGAGCAATCAATCTCTCCCTCTTTTGTGCTACTGAGAACACACTTCACTAATTCTACTTATCATGCTAATTGCCTAATTAAATATCTGCCCCTCCTCACTGTGGGCCTGGTCCATGTCTTGTTCATTACTGAATCCCATGTACTTAGTGGAGGACACAGTGTAGGCTCTCAAATATATTTGCAATAATAAACTGAATAAACCTTTGAATTCACACTACAAGCAACCTAACTCTCTCTGGATCAGGAATAAGGCCTAAGTCCTAATTATGTCATTCTTTCAAAAGAACACCAAAAACCAAAACAAACCCGCTGCCGCCAAGTCAATTCTGACTCATAGTGACCTTACAGGACAGAGTATAACTGCCCTAGAGGGTTTCCGAGTAGCAGCTAGTGATTTGAACTACTGACCTTTTGGTTAGCAGCCAAGCTCTTAACCACTTCGCCACGAGGGCGCCTTCAAAAGAATAGTCTTATCAAATTAATTTAAACTGAAGAATAATTGGTCTTGCTGATATTCCAAAAGGTGGTTATCTGAACATCTACAGTCAAGGGCTTTCTAATAAGAATGTTCTTGTCTAATGTTTCTTCATGTTTTTTTCTGGGAATTGTTAACAGATACAATTCAGAACATCTTAAAAATCACAATCAATAATTTAAAATGTATTGCTTTTATAATAAGAAAAAAGTTATTAAAAATAATTGTGTGTAAGGAAATTTTACACATAAAAAGTCTTCTCTCACTTCCTTCTCCTAATTGCTTGTGATAGTAAAAGCAGTTGATTCCTTTTACATGGGAAGTCATATACGATCAATAAACATGATTGGGGGAGGGGAACAAGCAAAGATCAAGAGGGTATTTAAACTTAAGGGGATTTCTTCTGAGATCAGAATTTTATGGTTTCTTTTTCATAATTTTGAAGGATTAGCGGCAGAGCCACTTCTGAATGTAAAGAAACCCCTTTCATCCAATAACTGAAGAGGGCTGCAATGTGTTCTCCCCACGTATTACTCTATTACTGTTTCCCCATTAGGCAAAATGCTGGACCTTAAGAGCCACAGTCCCCCCAGAATGAAAATGATATTCATGTATGAGGTCTAAATATAACAAAGACTCATATCTACCTTTCTGCCAAGTTCAGTGGCTTTTATAGTAGCTGTTGAATTTAGACTTCAGTAAAATACATTAATACTGTTTTTTATGGTTCTCTAAAGGGAAAGAATAATCTATGGATCCAGCTTTGGATAGGACCAATATTATCATTCCCCTTAACCTAATACAAGTTTCTGATGAGAGTAACAACACATAGTCTTAAAAAGTAAAAGATAATTTTGTAAAAGACAGAATTAAAACATCAAGCAATAAAATAATTGAAATACCTCAATGCAGATGTGATGCATTCCTCCAGCCTTGTTTTTCTGCAGAAAACCTGCAATCGGACTGTCTTTGCCCAAGGGATGAAGCAGTTCCATCTTGGTATTTCCCAGGTTGACAAAAACAACAGATACTCCATGTTCAGGAAGAGGGACCGCTTCACTTACCTGGGCCCCTAGAACATTCTTATAAAATGTCGAGGCCTTTTCCAAATTCGGCACGGCTATGGCTACATGATTGAGTCGACCCAGATTCCACACAGGGTCTGCCACTTTCTGCGAGGGCTGTGACAGGGAAAAAGTTCTCATGGTTGGAACTGGAGTCTGGAGTCTGGAAAAAAGCCCTGAAAAAGTGAACAGCATTGATATCACTCTTTTGATAATATACTTCTAAAGTTAATTAAACAAAACAAATAAAAACTAAAGAAATAATATATGTAAAAACTATATTCTATCATTGTATTACAGACAATAGTAGTCATAAAAGAAAAATGCTCTGCTTTAATTTATATATACCTGTTTTGTTTTATTCTTAGAGTCAAATCAGGAGAAATGTATAGAAAAACTTATGTCAAAATCATTTACTCTATCTATTTAAATAACTGGCTAGAAGCAAAAAGCTAACTCTGGGCTTCAATTAGATTCAGAAGAATGATACTTTTCATAATAATTTACATTTATTGATACTATTTGATGGACAGCTGCATATCGTTAAGAATTGCTTGCTATTCTCTGCACTTCACAGAGTCTGAATCTGATAGTGTAAAACAACCTAGATTTTATCCTGAAAGCAAGTAATTTCCTTCCCTACCAAAACCCAATTTTGGCTCATATTCTGTGAGTAAGTTCATTAAAGCCATAGCCATTCAGTATTTTTTAATATGTATTTTATTCAAATGGTACCCATTAAGGCCTATATCTAATGATTGGGGAAGGGGAACAGGCAAAGATCAAGAGGGTATTTAAACTTAAGGGGATTTCTTCTAAGATCAGAATTTTATTGTTTCTTTTTCATAATTTTGAAGGGTTAGAGGCAGAGCCACATCTGAATGTAAAGAAACCCTTTTCATCCAATAACTGAAGAGGGCTTCAATGTATTCTCCCCACGTATTACTCTATTACTGTTTCCCCATTAGGCAAAATGCTGGACCTTAAGAGCCACAGTCCCCCCAGAATGAAAATGATATTCATGTATGAGGTCTAAATATTATCTCGAAAAACTCCACTACTTAATAAAAAACTATAAAACAGTAAAATGAAGAAAAATATTTTAAACAGTATGTTGTTAGCTCTTAATGAAAAACACTTTAAACAGTACCTGGTATCACAAAGCTTCAGCTAAAGTAAAATTAATTCCCTTAGACTGAAACTTTTAATTAAAATGACACTATTTTGTTTAAGTTAGGCAATAAACCTTACGTATCATAGTTCAGAAGAAAGCAAAATTCAGCGTAAGACGGTCTTTTGCTATGCCACCGTCTAAATTAGTTATTACTGAAATACTCAAAAGAGCTCATTATCAATAAGTTGATATAGGCCAGTTCTTTGGAGTCAGTGTCTTATCATGAAATCCAAATCTATATCAACCCAGGCTGATAAGGTACATAAGGTTCCTAGGTGGCACAAATGGTTTACACTCTAACCTAAAGGATGGTGGTTCGAACCCACCCAGAGGTACTGCAGAAGAAAAGGCTAGGCGATCTGCTTCCGTTAAGATTACAGCCAGCCCTGAGATTGTGGCCCCAGGACAACCTTTTAACTCAGAACTGAAGTCACTCCCGAAGTTCACCCTTCAGCCAAAGATTAGACAGGTCTATAAACAAACAATACACCTGTGAGGAACATGCTCCATTATTCAATCAAGTATACGAGACTAAATGGGCACACCTGCCCAAAAGCAAAGACGAGAAGCAGAAAGGAACAGGAAAACCTGACGAGTAGAAAATGGGAACCCGGAGTGGATAAGGGGAGAATGTTGACACATTGCAGGGTTGGCAGTCACTGTCACAAAACAATTTTTCTATTGTTTAGTGAGAAAATCATTTGCTCTGTAAACTTTCACCTAAAGCACAATTTAAAAAAAAAGATTACAGCTAAGAAAACCCTATGGAGCAGTTCTACTCTGTAATACATGGGGTAATCATGAGTCAGAACTGACTCCACAGCAGCTAACAATGACACACATATGTGTACAACTGAAACTAAATTTCATAGAAAGAATACACAATCCTTAGTAGATGTGTTAGATGTGAGGTGTTCTGATATTTTCTACTCTATTGTATTTCATATATATATATTTTTAATACTGGTACTACCACTAATATCTACCTTGCTGGTTTGCTGTGAACATTAGATAGTTTATGAAAAAAACATAATACAGTGCCAGATACATAAATAGTAAGTAGTCAACAAATTCAGTCATTCTTATTGCTAATGACAACCAGTGAGTGTTTGCTAACTGAGTGGCAGGGTTACCTGTGGGGTCCAAGAAACTATCCCATGAGGGCATGGTGATAGCAGATTTTAAAAATGCTAGCAAGCAACAAAATCATTGGTCAAGCTGCTCTTCCCTCCTTTTCTTGTATCTCTACTGCAGGTACAATTTGCAATGAAAATTTACTACAGACTGTATTTATATTCAAAAACTGCGGATAGGGTTAATGGGCTTTAGGGTAGTGTGTACATTAGTAAGTGGTACCCTTATTACAAGCAGCCATGGTGCACAGTGGCTGAAGTGCTCAGCTGCTAACCAAAAGGTCATTGGTTCAAACCCACCAGCTGCTGCGCAGCAGAAAGATGCGACCCTGTCCTATAGGGTTGCTACGAGTTGGAATTGACATGACGGCAATGGGGTTTGTTTTGTTTTTACCCTTGTTGCAAGTATAAAATTTTAAGGGTATGTCAAATAATGAGTTTGAGTTTTTGTTTTCTTCTCAATTCTCCTTACCAGTGTCACCTTTACAAGAGACACGGCAGCCACAGCTTCCTTGGCAGGTGTCCCATTACCAGCAATGGAACACACCATAGAACTGTCACAGGAATAAACTAGAGGATATCCGAATAAAGATGAAGTTTTACATTCCATGCCAATTTGCTCAAGGGACATTTCAAAAACTTCTGGCACTGCAGAGGAAACCCAACCAACTCACGTGATGGACCACCACACTGTAGCCTATATTTCTCCAGAACTTCCTTATCACTGGGCTCTCAGTGTGCGAGGAAGAAACTGTTTACTAGAATGACTGGTCCTTCTTCTTTTTAATTGAAAAAACAAAAACTCCTTTATTGGAAAAATAGAAAGATAACAACATCTTTATATAATGTAAAAATTAAGACTTTGAGCTATATACCATAGGTTTATCTTATCTCTAGAAATGTAAACTTGTTTGATAAAGGAAATATCACCTTTTCCTGTTTTTTTTTTAATTGGTTTTATTTGGTCCCTAAAGCATACATTCTAGCAATAGAAAATAGTGATACCAATGATTCAAAAATTCAACTCCTTTAAAATGAAGGGATGAAGATATACAAATGGCCAACAAGCACATGAAAAGATGCTCAGCATCATCTGTCATTAGGGAAATGCAAATTAAAACCACAATGAGATACCACTTCACACTCACTGGGATTCAAACCACCAACCTTTCACTTAGTAGTAGAGCTCAAACTGTTTGTGCCACCCAGGGACCTTAATCTAATTTTAGAACAAGTAAAAGCTTTTTAAGTCTGATTTTTGCATATCTGGTTTGAGGAGACATACTTAGAAAGACATTCATCAGAAATGTCTTCAAGTTAGTTTGATAAGAAGCACAAAAGTTTTCAGCCTTCAGCCAGTGGCTTTAACAATACCATATACATATTTTCAACCTGTTTAAAACTATGATCATACCAGTAGTACTCAAATTATTTCAGAACATAGAAAAGGAAGGGATACTGTTTACTAGAATGACTGACTTCATTTTATGAAGGCAGCATAACCCTGATACCAAAACCAGGCAAAGATGCCACACAAAAAAATTACGTACCAATATCTCTCATGAATATAGATGCAAAAATTCTCAACAAAATTCTGGCCAATAGAATTCAGCATCATATCAAAAAAATAATACACCATGACCAAGTAGGATTCATACCAGGTATGCAAGGATGGTTCAACATTAGAAAATCAATCAA